CACATGGGCGGCAAGCCACTCCCATCCGGTCACATGGGTGGCAAGCCACTCCCACAAAGGAGGCCACACCCACAGAGTAGGTTCAAACAATTTTTAAAACCCACCACTGTTCCAAAAGCATTTCACTTTAGTATCTCCAGTAAAACAAAACTAAATATTTCAGTTACTCAATCAAAAAATCAACATACTCTAGAGATGGATGGGGAAAAAGGTCAGGATTGGGATTACAGGTATCCTCAATTGTTAATAAGTATTGCCCCATTTTACAAGCTTTCTTGCCACAGTTCTTAAGTGAATCAATGCAGTTGTTAAGTTAGTAACATGGTTGTTAAGTGAATCTGGCTTCCTCATTGACTTAACTTTTCAGAAAGTTGCAAAATATGAGGCAAGCATCTGAATTTTGATCACATGACTATGGGGGAATGCTGCAGTGTGAAAAATGGACATAAGTCACTTTTTTCCAATGCCATTGTGACTTCAAATGGCCATTAAACGAACTGTTGTAAATCAAGAAATACATGTACTTGGAGCAAGTATGTAGGAATAACAAACAAACAAACAATCTTTTTTACAATTCCATCTCATTTCTCACAGGCAGGCATGGCATCCCCAGAGATTTCTGAACAACTGATAATTGCCTTGGAACCGGAAGCTGCATCAATTTATTGCAGGAAGCTCCGCCTTCATCAGATGATAGACCTAAGCAGCAGAGCTCCTGTCAACGGCTACACTCCCAGTGAAACTATTGCCTCAGGTTTTACACCAGGTACCACTCTCTTAATCAGACTTCGATTGGGTGATGCACCTAATTCCTGCAGTCCACATGTTTCCTTATGGAAGTATTTAGACAAAAATTGTTTCTTAGTTGGTCTGATTTTGATAATGGGGAAACCAAGAATGAGGTTTCACAAAAAAGACAGTGGCTTGTTTATTAGCTTTATTAGCCGAGGTGGCGCAGTGGTTAGGGTGCAGCAATGCAGGCTACTTCAGCTGATTGCTATCTGCAGTTCGGCGGTTCAAATCTCACCGGCTAAAGGTTGACTCAGCCTTCCCTCCTTCCGAGGTGGGTGAAATGAGAACCCAAATTGTGGGGGCAATATGCTGACTCTGTAAACTGCTTAGAGAGGGCTGAAAGCCCTATGAAGCGGTATATAAGTCTAACTGCTATTACTGTTTGGGGGATTTTTGAATTTACATGCCAACATATGTGGAGTTTCCAGATTTGTTCATACCTCTCCAATCAAAATGTGAACTAGTTTTGTTTGTGGTTTCAGAGAACAATAAACTGTTATTGGGTGCTATTTACTGATCTAATTCAAGTAAAGGTTTTAACAAATGTATATGGCTGTGCAACTCAAAATACTGCAGCTCTGAGAGGCTTGGAACAAATTAAGGAACATATCAAACAAAGATAAACAATTCTAATTAGTAAGCAATAATCAATGAACAGTGACTCAATTTTTTTATTTGTTTGTTTGTTTATTATTTATTTATATATTTTATTTATTATTGTGATTTGGAGACTGTCTTCCAGATAGAAACTCTAATTATGTTGGGCCCAACACCCAAGGATATACCTAACTATGGCAACAAAGATAATATGTGAAACTGTTTTCCAAAACGGGGGGGGGGGGTAAAAGAAAAAAAGGATCCTGCCGTTCTTTAATCAACTGTGCTGATTTTTTTGAACAAAAGTGAACATGAAGGCATCACAGATTAGATAATCCGGACAATTGCAAACTGGAAGATGTCCTAATTCCAACCTGAGAGATGCCTCCTGCCAGGAATTTCCAATGAATCGCTTGGTTGAACTTATTCTGACTACCTTTCCCTTCATCCTAGCTCTGAGGAAAACAACAACTAAAGCTCCAAGGACAATGATAATAATTTCTTTTGTATTTTGTTGTGTTAAGAATTGATGGGAGTCAAGTGACGTATAAATTGATGATGATGATGGCCTTGGGATTTGGCAATTCCAAAATAGCAATAGCACAGATTTATATAGCATTTCACAGTGCTCTACAACCCTTTCTCAGGGGTTTACAGAGTCACCCTATTGCTCCCAACAATCTGGGTCCTCATTTTACCCATCTCAGAAGGATGGAAGGTTGAGTCAACCTTGAGCCTGGTGAGATTTGAACTGCCAAATTTCAGGCAGCTGGCAGTCAGCAGAAGTAGCTTGCAGTACTGCATTCTAACCACTGCACCACTACAGCTCTTAATGCCCATTGAACAGAAGGCAGTTTTTCAAGCAGGATATCCTATTTGTTTTGTGGGCCTGTACTCATTGCTGAAGATAAAAACAATACAATATGCTCATCTTTTGTTTTCCAGCATGCCTGTATTCTTTTTTTTTTTTCAAATGAAAATAATCTTTAAGAAATATGATGGGGAAGGGAGATTTATGAGTACAAAGGGAGTGCCTAAAGACATTTTGGTGTGGGGTAGGCACCATGTTGTGTAGTTCTCCTCTACAGATCTGCTAAGATTAAGAAGACAAATGATCTGCCTTAATGTCAGACAGAGTCTCTTGTTCACAGTTATGTATGAATTAATAGCCTAACTAATAACAAAATACTGCAAAGCTACTTTCAGCAGAATTCGATTTGCTTAATCTTTGTCGTGGCACGACAAAACCGCGGTCCACTAAAGCGCGCCCGATTAAAGCGCGTCGCTGATGTCATCAGCAGCGCAACAACAGCGACTGCGGAGAAAAAAGGGCGCTTTAAAAAGCTCTTTGAAAGCAAGCCGATTCACGTTAAGGTAAGGGTTAGGTTTAGGGTTAGGTTTAGGGTTAGGTTAAGGGTTAGGTTTAGGTTTCGGGGGCTTAGGTTTAGGTTTAGGGGTTAATTTTAACTTTAGCGCTCACAGCGTGCTTTTTTCATCGCGCTATGATGACGTCAGGTACGCGGTTTCGTCGAGCGCGCTTTAGTCGACCGCGGTTTTGTGGTGGAACCAATCTTTGTTATATGTTTATGGTAAGTTTGCAATAAACAGTTTGGTTTATATAGAATTAAAAGCCTTCAACCACCACAGAGGTCTACTCTGATTCAATTTGTTGAAAAAGAATCGCATCAAGAGCGACACCACTTTGGGGCTATAGCTTTGATTATCAATGTATTCGTTCTAATTCGTAACTGAATGATGTGTAGCCCACTTCCCTGCTTTCCGCTCCATGTACATGCAGCTTTGCTTTTGCTCTTTTATACTCAGTCATTTTCTCTCTGTGTTGCCACCAGCAAAAGAACACATTCGACGAAATCGACAAAGCCGCACCTTTTTGGTTGAAAACGTCATAGGAGAAATCTGGTCCGAGTTGGAGGAAGGTAGTGTCCATTGTTTTGGTCTTGCTGGTTTTGCATTGCCAACAGAATATGGTTCTCTGCGAGACTCTTGCCTTGTTCCTTTTAGTGCCTATGTGAATATTTGATTCTAATAAATGCAGAGGGCCACATAAAGACACATTTGTAAATAAATGCATGTCTTAAAAATTCTCCTCACTGGAATCACTTCCATACCCATCATTGCTTCCCACTATGTGGCCACTCTCCAGATGTGTGGACTTGTTCTCAACACCAAACGGATGTTCGCTAAAAAATTGTAGAGTTTGGAATCTATCCCTCTGAAGGGTTGCCCAGGTTTGGGAAGATCTCCTCCTGCCTTTGTAATTTATATAACAGGCTGCTGCTTTTACTGATTGCCCTAAATTGTCAGATGATTCAAGACGGAAGGCAAGATTGTTAGCAAGGTCTTGCTAATACAAGTCATATCATGCCAGGGTTTTAATTTTTCAGTGGCTTTTAGTCAGCTTACATACACAATTCAGCATCCTTTTATTAGAGTCTTTTGCCCCACATAAATTAATTGAGTCGTATGGCTTTCAGAAAGAGATTATTTTTGGGGTGACAGTATCCTAATTATTTTCTAAAAACTTCACCACCATCTAAAAGTATTTGTAATTTTGTTGATCTATGAATTGCTGTATTTGGACTGTGAACTGGAATATAAATTCTTTAAATAAGTTATTTGCTGCACACACATGATAACAACGGTGAGGCAATAGAACTCAGTTGCGTGTTGTGTGACTCATTCAAGAACCATTTATTTATATATTTATATATTTATAAATATGTTATAAATTTAGAAACTACTCATCTCCCTCACAGAGGGACTCTGGGTAGTGAGTAGCGTACAAGTAAAAGATAAAAAGATAAGAACTGTGTATAAATATTATATTAGGAGGCAAGGATAGTTAGATTCAAAGTTAAAAAGGCCAGAGGAGGGATGGTTTTCCAAGAGGCCAACCAGCCCCACGGCTGCCTGTTACTTTGGGAGTCCCAAGCAATCTATTAGAGCCAGGTCTTCAGGCCACAAGATCAGGAAAGTGAGGGCCCACCTCAGTTGTTCTTGGGGCGGGGGCAGAATGTTCCAAAGGGCAGGGGGAATGACCGACAAATCTCTCTACCTGGACTCTGCCAGTAACAATTCTTTAGCTGATGGGTCTACAACTTTCTTCTACTGTAGATAGTGTCCACATTAAAAGTTTCATGTTTTGTACTCAACGCTTGATACAAAAACCTTGAACCAAGATAGTGTTTCAAGAACTTTTAACTGATAGGCTCCCCAACATACCCTCCCTGCCTGATTGGGTGGGATGGGCCATTGTAATGGGACGAAGATTGTTCTGCAGGTAACCTGGCCCCATGTAGGGCTTTAAAGGTCACCTTGATTTGCACCTGGAAGCACCTGGCCTCCAATGGAGCTGATGCAGCAGAAGTGTTACATCTCCCTTCATTGGGCGCTCAAGATTGCTTGCGTGACCTAATTCTGTACCACCTGAAGCTTCCATATACTCTTCAGGGATAGGCCCATGTAGAATGCATTGCAATAATCCAAACAAGAGATGAACAAGTTGCTTGATGAGAGCACAATGCTTTGGGGTGTAGGAACCACTATAAATCTATTTATCTTTATTAACTCGCATATTATTCAAAGTAAATGACAGTATAAGTAAGTCATTCTGGTTATCACTCAGTACATGGTTCAAGCATCAGTGCCCAAATGTGCTGCAATCCTAATTTGCTCTCCGTTTTCAAATTGCTGCCTATTTAGTAGCAAACTAGCTCATACGTTTGTAACTTTTACATGATTTTTTTGGTAAACTTCTTGTGATTTTTATGAAGTGGCTTTTAAAATAAATGCAAAATACCCATCAGGGCGAAAAAAAACCCCAACTGTTGTTATTCCATTTGGATTAATAGGTGACCGTTACATAGTTGTGGATGGGGGAGGAGGAACAGTTGATGTGACTGTGCACCAGATCAGGTTACCGGAAGGACACCTGAAGGAACTATACAAGGCAACAGGTAAAATAGATTCCTCACTGCTACTGATCATAGAACATTTAATTTCTTTACCCTGAAAACAACTTGTAACAAGGTTTGCTGGAAGTCATGTAGTCTAAGATCTCACAGGCTGGGCCTCCTTCGGGTACCGTCGACCGGGCAATGCCGGTTGGCGACTACTCGGGCGAGGTCTTTCTCTGTAGCTGCCCCGGCCCTGTGGAATGATCTACCCAGAGATCCGGACCCTTCCCATTCTCTTGGCCTTCTGGAAAGCCATTAAAACCTGGCTGTTCCGGCAGGCCTGGGGCTGTTGACCCAAAATATGGTCCAGCCCCTTTTAGAATGGAGTGTATGGTGTGCTGTTTTTAAATCTATCTTTTCTTTCCCTGTATTTTATTTTTGACTTATTTTTGTACTGTAAGCCGCCCGGAGTCCTACGGGATTGGGCGGCATATAAATGTTATTAAACTTGCAAACTTGTTCCAAAGAAGCTTATCTTTGAAGAAAAGCAAAAATTGGATTTGTGGTTCTTCAACTTTCTTTACTTCAAGAAATGAAGAATAAATTATACAGCGCATTGATTCTACTATATAATATTGTCCCTTGGGTTCATTATGAGTTTTTCTATGTAACTGAGATCAGAGTATCAGTTTATTCTAACAGGCATTTTAAATGAAGATACATAGGAACGGGCTACATGCATGCATATATTACTCACTTGGAAACTTCTTGACAAATGACACATTCCAAGAATGGATAAGTTATGCTATGGGTTGGTCATTTTGGCTAGCCATGCACAACCTACTAACTATGGCTTTTATACAGATGTTGCATTTTTGTCCATGAATAGACTTCCTGATGGCGCCGGGATGTCTCTCACGTAGATTTCAAGACACAGCTATGGGTAGATACATAGGCTAGAGCTCTGTCCCCTTGTGCACTGAGTATACAAAAGTGGCATGTTTGACCACGAACATTTTGATGGCAAAGGACAAACAGAGCTGATTCCTGTCATGTGGTAACCTGATCCTATGGGAAAGATATTGAAAATTCATGGCAATGTTCCTACTGTTGCCTTTAATAGCCTTTTATCACAGCAGAAAGGTGCTTGAATTGTCTAGACAAAATCTTTAGGCGAAATGCTATACCCATAATTTTTCACTGTATCAATTCTTAAATAACTTTTCCCATTAACAATATTTTATTTCTCATGCAGGAGGGCCATATGGCTCTTTAGGCGTAGACTATGAATTTGAAAAACTTCTGTGCAAAATATTTGGTGAAGATTTTATTGAACAATTTAAAATCAAGCGACCTGCTGCCTGGGTTGATCTGATGATAGCATTTGAGTCTCGGAAGAGGGCAGCAGCTCCAGATCGGACAAATCCACTGAATATCACCCTGCCTTTTTCTTTCATCGACTACTATAAGAAGTTTCGTGGTCACAGCGTAGAACATGCCTTAAGGAAAAGCAAGTAAGTCAGAAATTAGTTAAGCTGTTCTGTGACTGTTTTTTTTTCTGGAAATAAATCATATGGAGTCACTGATACTTTAAAAAAAATAGATATGCAGAAGATTCACCATAGAATAATCCAGAAAGTTTCTTGTATTAGTTGCATGAAATATGAATAATTAATTCAAGTTCAATTTACAAATTGCTAACAGTATCTGAAGAAACACCAGCATAAAAACAGTTTTTTCTTCCTTTCCAGCATCAAGCTTGTAAAATTGCCAGACCCAAACCTCCTTCCTTAACTAGTCCATTACAAAAAGAAAACCACATCTTCCTTTATCCCATCCTTAAAAATTTCATTTTGTGAAATTGCTCCATTTATCATGAGGATGTAGGCTGTTTATTATAGCATTTGCTAATGTAAACAATCTTGAAGTATGTGAGAAGGGAGGTTTTTTCCTTCTATTTGGAACAATCTCCTATTAATTAGTGATAGAAAGGATGGTGTACTATGCAGGTCAATGGCGTATCTTTAGAATTTTGTCTTTAGAATTTTTTAAAAGCACCAAAGGCCTCTTCTGACAGGAGGGTGAAAAAATCTAGCCCTCTCGCTACAAAAACATTTCTGTTCACACGAAATATGACACTTGAATTTCACCATCCGACTAGGCCTCATTGTCACATGTTGTTCTGATCCAAAAGACTCACCAACTCAAAAGCAGCACTTGAGAAAGGGAGTGCCCTTCCTTGTGCAAAGAGAAGTGTGCTCTGCTAGTGCAAAGCCTATAGTCCTCTTTAAAAGCATGTCCTTGCTGTGAATGACTTTTTGTCTGTAACAAGTGGCAACCAATTCAAGATGAGAAATTCTGCCTGCCTATTTTGCTGTCAGGCACAGGAAACAAGTTATATCTCAGTGGCAAGAGTTTCCTGCCAATTTTAAACAATATTTCCCTTCTAAAGAGTGTTAGGTGTAGAGGTGTACACAGGAATGTGGACTGACCTTGCCTTAAGACTTTTCCATCTTGATGTTAAATGGAAAATGGGATTGAACAACTGAGATTGATTCCTGACATGATAGAGAAATAACTGCTTGTACTCTGTCCCTAAAATCTATGTTCCTACAGAGAGGCTGGAGTTGAAGGGTCAGAGCTGATATACATCCTTGTACTAACTTTCTACATGTAGACTTATAAATATTCAGTAAGGATCATTTTCAGTCTTTTCCCCAAATGGAATATAGATTCATGTTTTCATTCCTTACAAAAAGCTCCAAGTAATTCTTAACCTGTACAGTGTTGCCTCCGTTGACTTTGTCCCTATCTTCAAGAAAGTTTCTTAGAACTAGGGTAGGTTTTTTTTCTTAAACAGTTGCTTTCTTTGTTTTTTTGCAGTGTGGATTTTGTGAAGTGGTCCTCCCAAGGAATGCTGAGAATGAGTCCTGATGCAATGAATGCCCTCTTCAAACCTACAATTGACCACATTATAGAACATCTCAGTAGGTATTAAGGGTGTATAAGGCTTTAAAGTCATTAAGAGTCAGAACATTCAGAATGCAGAGATCTTATCTCTTCAGGACAATTAATCCAAAATGTTTATCATATTGCACTTTTTTTAAGCAGTTGTTTTGTCTGAGTATATAAGTCTTTTATCGTAATTTCCACTGAACATACAGCCTGAAAAATACAAATTCTATATGCCAGAAATAATTATGTTCTTATTTAACGATTATCATTTCTGTAGGATTATGGTTGACATTATCAAGTTAATATGAAGAATGTTGCCCATTTTGATTTCTTTACATCATCTCCCTTCCTGAACACCTATATACTGTGTAACATCCTGATCCATAAGTATCTACAGTATATATACCCCCATAGACACGCATACATATACCTGTACCTAATGTTTTTATCAAATTGTTCTGATGAGACTAGATTCTTTTCTCACTGGGTCTTAGTAAATGCGCTATTTTTCTCATCCCTTGGATTTCTTTCTCTGCTCAGGTGAGATTTTTGACAAACCTGAACTGACAAATGTAAAGTTTCTATTCCTTGTGGGTGGATTTGCAGAAGCCCCACTTCTACAACAAGCTGTCCAGAATTCTTTTGGCTCAAAATGCCGAATCATCATCCCTCAAGATGTGGGGCTCACCATCCTCAAAGGAGCAGTCCTCTTTGGTCTGGATCCTGCTGTCATTAAAGTGCGTCGTTCCCCCTTGACCTACGGGGTGGGAGTCCTGAATCGCTACGTGGAAGGGAAGCACCCTACTGAAAAGTTGCTACTTAAAGATGGCACCCGTTGGTGCACCGATGTCTTTGACAAGTTCATATCGGCTGACCAGTCCGTGGCACTTGGGGAGACCGTGTCCCGCAGCTATACCCCTGCCAAGCCTTCTCAGCTGGTCATTGTGATCAACATCTACAGCTCGGAACACGATAATGTGAATTTCATCACTGAGCCTGGAGTGAGGAAGTGTGGCACGCTGCGCTTGGATCTCACAGGAAGTGACAAATCTGTGCCAGGCCGGAGGGAAATCAAAACGCTAATGCAGTTTGGAGACACTGAGATTAAAGCCATGGCAATTGATGTTGCCACTTCTAAAAGTGTAAAAGCTGGCATTGATTTTCTAAACTACTGATTTTCTTTTCTTTTCTTTTCCATGACCCTCACCACCTATTGTTTCCATGTTCTGTTCACTGGCTGCCAAAAACATCCTGAATTTTGGCTAGATAGATAAAGCATAGAAGAAGAAAGCATCAGGATTTTTAATTATTATTTTTTGCTCTTCAAATTACCAATATGGAGTCTGAACATAGAGTTATCAGGTGCTACATAGTAAAGTGAACAACTCAAATATGTAATGAAAATTAAGCGCTGAAATATTACTTCTCTATTTATTTGGGAGACATGTTGCTTTACTTGATGTCTTTCATATGTTCTGAATTCTAGGGCCTAATAATCAAACCTGTTATTTCTACATTTAGGGTACCAACTAATGTACTTTTTTTTTTTTTGAAGCACTAAAAGTGAAATTTATAACCATGATTTGTGGTTATCCATTTCACAGTAGAAATTCGTTTTCAGCTATTTTAAAAGATAACCTCTCTTATTTATATGATGGAGTAGGAATACTGGAATTTAAGCATGTAAAATTGCAAATGAACAGGTTTAGAAATTGGGTCTTTGTAGCACAAAACTGTTGTTCGTTTATAGGATCAAATGACTTGTTGGTTTGGTGGGGGTTTGCTTCTATTTTAAGTTAGTAAACCTGTTAGAGTTGCAATCTTATTAAAGAAATGATCCAGTAGTAACATTTGTGGGAAATGCTGAAGCAACAAGTATACTTAATGTCTAGATAATGCCAACAAGGATTAGAACATTATTTTAGGAAAGGAATTCCTCCCCCCTGTGGAGAGAAGTGACATTGCACCTGAATAATTGGCCATTTATAGTTTAAAAAGCACTAAATGTTCTGTCCAATTAATTCACACCAACTTCAATTTTGCAACACTGATGCTTGCATTTCCCTCTTTTTCAATATTGAATAGAGAACTTCCCAAAGATTAAACCAATTCTGTAAATGAGAAAGTGTTCCCACTTTCCATTTTACTGTTGGCAACCTCTGGCTTTATTTATCTATACCTCTTGCCAGCCAGTTCTTGTACAAAACAAACAAAGGGGGTGTGGTAGCAATAGTTAACCAGAGATCATCTCTATCCTCAGGTTGTAGAGCGAAAGGATCCATTTTCATTGTCTTTTTCAGCCATGCCAAACAAAGGAATAACTTCCTGTGTTGATCCTAGAGAGTGGTATCTCATACAAGAAAAGTGATAACATTTTCCTGGGGCCAACTTAATTATTTGATAAAATAATTTATATAAATATAAATTGCTATAGAAGTTACTCAACATTTCATTAAGGAAAAAAAATTAAATTCACAACTAGGGACATTGTCTGTTATTTACCAATTCCTGCAGAATCAGATGTTCTCCCTATATCGCCCCTTTGGAATAACTGCATAAACTAGGGGTGTCAAACTTCCTCGCATCGCGGGCCGTATCATAGTCTATCACAATGTTTTTGCCTTTGCGGAGCAGGGGTGGGTGTGGCCTGTGCGGGCCGTATCTGACCCGCAGGCCGCCAGTTTGACAGGCCTGGCATAAACAGATGCTCAAGAAGTTGAATGTTCCTTGAAAGAAATGTACTGTCTTCAGTTTAGCTCCTTGTGAGCTTCTTCCATTCTGTGACCAATAACCTGACTTCAGCAAAAGTAGGAAAAGTAGGAAAAGTAACTTCTTGGCAGAGGAAAAAACAACAACGCTGCAAATAAGTAATTGAGCAGTGTTGTTTCTGACCAGAAGAGGGAGTACAGACATTATTTCTGAGATCACTTAAATGGCTTCCAAGGGACACAACAATACTTTACATTCAACGTGAATGAAGCTTTAACGGACTTATATCCAAGAAGGGAGAATGAAACCTCAATCTTCACATAGAAACTAACTAAAACTCTAGTGCCCTCTTGTCCAAGATGGTGTCATCCAGTAGTGTTGGCCTGTAAATCCCAGAATTCCCTGACAAGATAACCAGCAACCATGTTGTATAGGAATTCTGGAAACTACAATGTCAAAACTCCGTAAAAGCACTATATTTTGGAAGAACCCTAGCAACGGGGCTGCCTCTGCTTAGTCTGTCTAAAACTGCCCATGCCATGGAAAAATCTCTGATGCGACTACAGATGAGTTGATGAAACTACACTGCCAGCCTAGTGTGTCTTTCCAGGCTAACAACTTACAATATGAAGGCTGCTTCCAGTTGAGTACTACAATTCAGGGCTTGATAGGTAGCTAATCCCAACATGTTGGGTTTGAGGCCAAATTCATGACAGCAGAAGGGTCTGTTTTGTCAGCTGGAAGCTGACACTTTCCTCCCCCCCCAAATACCACTGAGAAAACACATTGTCATCCACTGAAATCCATTATGCTTTCAAGATGTCTGAAAGCTAATTGTTTAGCTGGATCTTTTTTCCTATTAGCTATGCATGAATGAAAAGCCATAGAATTGTTTTCCTTTTTTCCCCTCTCAAAAAATCTCAGATTTCTTATTAAACACATAATTTGGGGACAAACTGCATCACACAAACATTTTGATTTTCTAGGAAGAATTTAAAGGTCCCTTTGCATTATGTGCTATAAATAATATTGCCTGATAGAATGAGAATAAGCTTTGATTTACTATCAGAGGAATAGATTGGGTCATTATAATTACAGCATCTAAACTTGTTCCTCCAATAATTATTCCCCTGGAATAATTATAAAGTATGCATGCTGGCATTTCTTCTTTCATCCTGACTGCTGTGTTTTTAAAAGGCATTTTTTCCCCCTGTATGAGTGAGTGAATGCCTTTCTGTAGCTTTCAAACAAGCAACTTCCTTGGAATGAGCTATGAACAAGAATTATTTGATGTATATACAATATTTAAATATTGTACAGATGTTTTCTTTCTGAAAGTGGTATTTTCTTGTACAGAATGATCTTTATCCCTGTTGATTTGCATCCGTGTTTAATTTTAAATAATATAGTTTCTTCCGTGACTTCAGTAATTACAGGCTTTTAAAGATGACAAGAGATGTAATGCACAAAGATGATCTTATAATAAGGGGAGTGGAATGTCAGGATGTCAGACAGTACCACATTATTCTCCGTGCTATGCAAATAATAGCTTACAGACACAGTGCTGGATTTTTCATTATTTTTGCTTTAACAGGTACAGGCTGCCTTAATGCTATGCATCTGTGCTCTGCTTTGGATAATACCTGCTCTATATAGAAAGTAGATGATCAGTTACCACATTTTCACACCAAATGAACTCCAGTTTCAAGGCATACGTTTTATTTTAATTATGTCTCTTCTGCTAGACAAAAACTGTACCACAATGAAGCATCCTGAGCTACATCATCTAACCTAACCCTGAGTCTCTTGAGAGTGGGTGGCATACAAATTAATTAAATAAATCGGAAAGGAAGGGCCCCCAGCAATGGCAGATGAGTTGAAGTTAGTACACGCCTGTACCATCCTCTGATTATAGAACATATATCAAACTAAGTCAGGAATTGGCTCAATACAAAATCACACGTTGGATGCTTTTAATGCCCGGATAAGCCTTGAATGAGTGTTTCTCAACCTTGGCAAGTTTATGACTGGTGGACTTCCATTGCCCAGAATTCCCCAAGTATCAAGCATGGGGATTGAAATCCATCCCTCATAAACTTGCTGAAAAATGCTGCAATAGACCAATGGTACTTTTTCGGTATTATGAAATCTGTATCCCAAATTGTGGAAACACAATTGTTGACTGAGTCACACAATCTCACTGTAAGACTACATTTCATTTTTTACCCAACTCCCATGACTATCTGCTTGCTACATCATCATCAACCTCAATAGAATGCTGGCTTATGACTTAGAATTAACATCAAGGGCAGAAATGATTAAAAAGCACCACAAAAGCAAGAAAGTGCTTGCTGTTCAATTACTGTGGCTTTAAAAGTCATATTAACTTTCATCGGTGATTCTTTGAAGCTCGCACATATACACACACACAAGCTGAAAAGGTCAGACTACTTCAAGCAATAGCAAAAAAAAAAAAAAAAAAAAGGCACCAGCAGGAGGTATGAAACATTTATTTCCTTTTCCACGACCCTCTTAAATAATGGAGATACAAATTTTAACCCAATACTGCACCTCAGAGATAAGCCCCGACCTCAGCAGGGTTTACTCCTGGGGAAATGGGTTTAGAACTACAGTGCTAAATGACTTATATCAGAAAAACTGGATGCAACTAATTTCCATCAGCCTACTTCAGAGCAGGTTTGTTGCAGGAAGGGAAATGTTAGGGATGTCTAAGCCAGTGTTTTTCAACCTTGGCAACTTGAAGATGTCAGGACTTCAACTCCCAGAATTCCCCAGCCAGCGAATGCTGGCTGGGGAATTCTGGGAGTTGAAGTCCT